TCGTCAAGACTCCAGGTCCTTGGCAGGATAGGTAAAATAATATGGGCTTCACTAAGTATGACACCAAGGCTGTGTCCGGCTGAAGATCGGTACAGGCATTGGCTCTGGGGAGCGGGATAACGACAGCAGATGTAACTTTTGTTGTATCATCTGTGACGCCCGCACTCTGAGACATTCACCTGCTTACCATCTTATCAATACAAGTACCATATACGACGGCTGATCCTCCTTAGCACAAAGAGCCTTGGCAAATTACCAACGTCTACAACGTTTGGAGAGTATTGCCCATTACGGTGTAACTCAATGCATCGGTCGCTTGAAATCTTTAGCACATATGAACGTACTCATGGATCTCCCGACTCATCATGTTCACTGACGAATGCTCTCCTTGCCGCGATCGTCAGCTCGATGGAACGCAACAGGTTAGATGAGACGGGAACTTCAACACCGGTAGAACCGAGCGAAGATTACTGATTTAGACTTTACTGACGTCTTGCTCATGGAAGACAAGTACTCTAACCTCGATACTCTGTCTTGACTCTTTGTCAACCATTTCCGCATCCGTAAATGCGGCGTGCGGAACTCTGCGAGCACGCCCATCTGCCTTCGAGTCATAACACTTGATGAGCATCACCTCTTCCGGTGTTTGCAAGCTTTTATAGTACCAGCGATGCCTGCTATTGGGAAGAATCGTGCATGGCTCGCCCACCCAATCCGGGTAAATAAGCTTGACTGGCACGATGTCTGTGTCTAACACCGAATGAGAGTCACAGACCGCGAGAGGATCTTTATAGATTGTCTTGATTGGGCGCCAAACGTTGATAACCTGGAATCGTGATTGCAATAGTCGAGACGCTTCTTCGCCCAAGTGACGCTTGACTTGGTTCATAGCCCCCCACTCTGACTGGTCAATGTGGGCTCTTTTCACTGGTCGGCGCTCGTCATCAGAGTGCGCGGCTAAAGGATTCGGCCTCCGAATGGTGTGGTCGAAAATGTGCAACCGTGAGGCACCGGTTCTAGGTATCTATTAGGGAAAGTCCCTCATTTAACGGCCTAGAGGAAGACTCACACTTGCGATAGAAGCTTTTCGATTTCGGGATAATAAATGTCCTTTATATGTTGATCACTCGTAAAATCCACCAACTGGCTAGTGTGGAGACAGAGCTGAAATCCATGGCTGTCGAGGGTGAAGCTACTTTCATCCCCAGTGATATCGTGAACGATCGTTGCAAAATCGATAGATGGCTGGGTGAATGTGCTTCGTTTGCCCGCAATGCTTGGTGCATGCTCACTTCCATCGCCAGGATCTCGATAGTAATTGATGGTTGTTTCCACGTCACGTGGACTGGCCAGTCCTGTCATGTCGAGATTTTTCAAAGTGTAGAAGAATTCTGAAATGTCGTCTGATGATCTTGACAGCAATTGCTTCCGCTTGTACAGTCCAACCTGGTCTGGGTATGGACGTGGACGTAGTATGGGAGAATGGAGTTCCTCGTAGACAGAAGAGAAGAGATAAGTAATACACGGCCGTCAACTGCTCCCAAAAAGGGAAAAAGCCGAACCCCGCGTGCGTAGAAGCCCCCTGTACAATTAGACTACGCACGAGACCCACCCATTTGTGACCGACCAGGCTCTCGGTATTAAATAGTGCTCCGAAATCTAGCATCGACAGAGTATCAGGACAGTCTGATATCAAGAACAATCAATTTAATTAGCATCCTAATCTAATAGCATATTCATTTTGTATTGTTTCGTGCGCTTCGCTTGTATAGCGATGTGTCTACTTATACACTGTGACTCCTTCCTTCCCTTTGCCACATTTAAAATCTTAGGCTAAAATTGGTAATACCTAAGGTAATTACCTTTGTTTAGTAACATTGTTAACATAGTTTGTTGATCTGCTCTACAATGTCGTCAAACAGCATAACGCTGAGTAGATACTGTTTGCAAGGGACCAGGGGACGGTAAGAGCTCGCAAGATACGAAGCACCCTGACACCGGGAACAAAGACAATCCAGAACCTAGCGCTATTGCGGACCACGCAATAAGGATCGAGGTGGCAGTAGAAATTTATATGTGTTAGTATGTATGAAAAGTGACGTGAATGCCTCGAGATGTGCACAACATAAACTGAGCTGCCTTGGTGCGTTGTAGCTAAGTAGTTGCTAAAAGATAGAAATAGTGATAGTTGGTGTTGAATAAATAGGTACCGTATGCTTAATGTCCAATCTGACGACCTTCAATCCGCCAATAAGTCTTTATCACGTGGCTATGCTTTCGTTGCCTACATTCACAATTGCGAGCGTTGGCTTATATAATAACCTCTTCCACTGCTATAGACTTGTTGGTATGTGCAGTGCGGTTCCAACAACGACTCCCCAGAGCCTCTGGGACGAAGCTTACCGTCTGCCCACTGGTCTTATGGACTGCTTGGGAATCGTTCGACGTGCACACGTGAGCATACTGGAGACGGTTCTCGTTGCAGCCGAAGTACAGTGGGAGAAGAGTGTCGCCAGTCAATGGCGTTTCAAGAAATCTGGGGGCGGCGAGATACCTTAGTTGACAGAGACACGCTGGAGAAGATCATCAAATGGATTAATTGCTTCAAAGCGGTTGGAGATACTGCAGTGCAATACGACCCTGCTCATGCGGCACTCTCATGGGCGGCAGTACGTTTTGTACTACAGGCAGCCGTCGATGACGTGGAGCTATTCAACTCCTTAGTTGAGAACATTGTCCTCACCTATTTGGCTAGAATGATTCAATACTTAGCCACCCCGACGCCAAGTAGTTTGTTTATACGTACAAGACATCTAGTCACCTCCATAAAACTGATGTTGGAATAGCACGGGCCCTGAGAAGCGCCTTCAAATCGACCGAAGCTTTCGAAAGCAAGGACATTAAGTCGTTAGACATGGAGGCTGATAAATTCTTCAGAGCAGTCCTTGCAGAGAGGTTCATTGCTTGTGAGGAAGAGGATTCAAAAACCTTGCAGCTCTTGGAACCCCTCAGCGCGTCTGTTGCACAACTGATCCAGCGAGACATTTCCCTCCAGTAAGAAGCCAACAGCAAAAAGTGGCTGGAATTTCTGGATTGAGTCTCTCCTATCGACTTTCACGGCCAGCATCGAGAAGTCAGCCATCGTAGATTACCTGTCGTCGAGTTTCTGTTAGGATCTGGCCCTGAGTCCAAGCGACAGTGGATCATCGATACGATCTGGAAGACCGGCCACAAGCATATTGTGATCGCGTTCGACAAAATCCTTGGCTTCCCAGTCAATACATTTCCTTGTTAATAGATCTGTATGTAGAGAAAAAGACTCACATCGATTGAGATCGCTACTACCATGTGCAAAATGGACTATTTGCGTCTTTTTCGGATTCAATTTTCTTCCGTCAAATGAGAACAAGGTAAGCAAAAGCTTAGGAAAGTGACATTATAGAAGACAAGATGGTTTACTAAGTCCGAGCCCATATCAAGCCTGGGATTGGCAATTGTGTCCATGTCCAAAACTGGCGCTCGATTCCAACTAATTCGAATGTCTTCTTTATGTTCAATTCAACTTGAAGGTTGTTATCAGCACTGCGCTAATGAATCAGAGTAACAACGTATCAAGTCTATTCATACGCCGTAGTAAAGTATCACAAGCTACTTCGTCATGATTAAGCCCCGTATGGTCAAAATATAGCAAGTTTTGTATGTCAAGATAAGGCAAATCGTCAATCTCCTATCTAATGAAGCTAACGGCAAGGCTTGCAAGCTAGAGGTTGTAAACTTCGCCTAACACGCTAGGCCCCCGATTCGTCTAATATCATTAGATTCCTTGGCCAAGCTGAGCCCCAAATCAATCGCCAGACGCCCGCAACAGAAATCGGTCCAGGATCCCGAAACTTGGCAACTTCGTTCCCGTCGCCGATCCCGAGACAGGTTGCGATGAACTTGTATGCTTCCGGCGCTTTGGATTAAGGTAGATAACCCCAAATCATACTGCCTACCTGTCAATATTAGTTTATGGCCTCTCCCACATGCGACAAAATCCATATTCACTACAGTGGAAGTCTATTTATAGTGTTTCAATCCAAATGCCACTGCACGGACGGCAGCATGGGTTGAGGAATGACTCTTTAACCACCCGATTCTTGCTTTTGTGCCAGGACCCTTAGTACTACGGCCTTATCGGCCCGCTTCGCGGCTCGCGGCTCGCCGAGTGGCCCTATCTAGATCAGCAGAGCTTATCTATGATGAATCGGAAACTGTCGTTCCCAGTCAACGTTAAACCTACATATACTTTAACGAGTTAGCGCAAACACGGCCCGCGGGAGGGCTTGTCCGCTGCACCGGTTACCGGGAGAATAGGTATTGTCCACATGTACTTAACCGCATGGCATCTGCACTCCAGACTCTTATGTGTAACTTTAATAGCCGCTCCCATCGCTGCGTGACCTGCTGACAGCCCGGGGACCCCGGAAACACTGACCTGACAGTGAGCATGCCTTGGCAGGACGATAATTCTTCCAGATACATGACCTTCCTCGCCAAGGCTTAGAACTAGGCCTGATCAAGAATCTGATGCAGCGAGCTCTGGTCCTTCTGAATTCTGCCTCTGGGAAAGTTCATCATTCGTAGCAGCCAAGACTCATAGATCACGAAACACTATGCAGAGTCATGCAGGCAGCAGAAGGTACGATTCGGTTTTGCCGTGTCGTGATGTCTTGAGATGTTGACGGGACATTGTGCGAGTGACCTCGTACAGGCAATAGAACTTGCCAAAGGTAATAAACTTAGAGTCTCAAATAGGAACTAGAATGAGGTAGACTTGGGAAATATAAAGGACTAAGCTTTTCCCCCATCAAAGGTACATCTCTCTTCATCACAATCATTCCAGACTACAGTACCATTCAGTTCATTCCTTCAAACGATCATTACCTTCACTCATTCAAAACCAACCCTCTTTTACCAATAACAACAACAACATCAACAATACCACCAACACTATCAAGATGCACGCCTCTGCTATCCTTGTTACTCTGCTTGCCGCTACTGGCATGGCTGCTCCCAGCCCCGCCATTACTAACGACGGCGCTAGCCAGTTCATTGCCCGCCAGGACCCTAGGCTCAAGCAGGCCCAAGACAGACTTCAGGGAGCTCGCACTGCCTCAATGGAGGTTATTGAGACTGGCGGTGGTAAAGGCCGCCGCCTCGGTCAGATGAACTGCGGCCGTCTCTGTAGCTAATGCTAGACCGGCGCCGTTACGGCTGCTGTGGGAGAAATTGCGGTCTATGGTGTTGCCGCGATTGGTCTTGCTGCCGTGAGCGGCCTACTTGGAGTCTTCCTCGACGTTGTCGGATTTGCTGGTTGCGAGGCTGCGGCCATTGGGGAGCTGAACAAGGCTGAGGCCGAGTGCCAGACCCTCGTGGGCTAACTTGAAGAGAGAGGTCGGTCGCAGGAAGCTCGCTATCTCATGTAACAGTAGATTATGGACGGTTCGGATTTGTTTTGCTTTTTGTTTATAGAAATTGGGATCCCATTTGTTTCTTTACCTTCCGTCAATTAACCCATGTGACTGCGTAATCGTTTTATTTCTGCGAATACGTAGGGTTAGGGTTAGGGTTAGGGTTAGGGTTAGGGTTAGGGTTAGGGTTAGGGTTAGGGTTAGGGTTAGGGTTAGGGTTAGGGTTAGG